CATCATCATCATCATCATCATCATCATCATCATCATCATCATCATCATCATCATCATCATCATCATCATCATCATCATCATCATCATCATCATCATCATCATCATCATCATCATCATCATCATCATCATCATCATCATCATCATCATCATCATCATCATCATCATCATCATCATCATCATCATCATCATCATCATCATCATCATCATCATCATCATCATCATCATCATCATCATCATCATCATCATCATCATCATCATCATCATCATCATCATCATCATCATCATCATCATCATCATCATCATCATCATCATCATCATCATCATCATCATCATCATCATCATCATCATCATCATCATCATCATCATCATCATCATCATCATCATCATCATCATCATCATCATCATCATCATCATCATCATCATCATCATCATCATCATCATCATCATCATCATCATCATCATCATCATCATCATCATCATCATCATCATCATCATCATCATCATCATCATCATCATCATCATCATCATCATCATCATCATCATCATCATCATCATCATCATCATCATCATCATCATCATCATCATCATCATCATCATCATCATCATCATCATCATCATCATCATCATCATCATCATCATCATCATCATCATCATCATCATCATCATCATCATCATCATCATCATCATCATCATCATCATCATCATCATCATCATCATCATCATCATATGAACTAACATCCTAATATAATAACCACATTAATATTGTGATAGATTTTACAATTAACTATTTTGCATCATTTATTGTAATTTGACAATATGGTTTGTTTTTTGCCTACCAAAGTTTGGAAAAAAAACAATTTTATCAATCAGCATCATACATACGTAAATATTTGTTGACATCTAATGGATACAACAGATATGAAGCAGTAATAGTGTTTTTCTTTTTTTTTAAAAAATAATAAAAGAGCACTTTTAAAGTACCTTGTGATTGATATTTTACAAATTAAAATAATATTGATTAATAATAACATCAAGATATCTATATCACATCTGATCGATATTGATTATCGATAGCATTATTATTTAATGTATATAAATAATCATTATTCAAAATTTATTTTGGTGAATGAAGTTCGCTTAGATATAAAACAAAAGAAAAAAAGGCATAAAATTCAAGCAAGCAATGACTCTTCAATGAATATTTTCTACCAAAGTTAAATAATTTTAAGGGTTAAGTTATGCGATAAAATAAATAATACTGATTACATAATAATAATAATAATAATAATAATAATAATAATAATAATAATAATAATAATAATAATAATAATAGAATGTAATAATAACTTGTCATATATATAAAATCAATAAAATATTGTGCAATCATTTAAGCATTTATGTGACAAAAGAATAGATGTAAAATTAGCCTAAGTTATTTTATTGATTATGAAAAAAAAGAGAATATTTATACAAGGGTGCAGGGAGGATGATAAAAAGTTTTTGATGGAGTTTTGTTCTCTGAGTTGGATGGTTTGGTCATGGAGCTTTCATCGTTCTTCCACGACCAAACCATCCAGTTTAGAGAACGAAGCTTCATCAAAATCATCCACCTGAGCTACAAATCTTATCCACCACGATTAGAAGTTCTTTTGTGGAATTTTGATTGAGTTCAATTTATTAACCAATTTATATTATAAATTTAAGATCATTTGTGGAATTTTCTTAAATTTCTGTGATAATTAAAAGTATTTGAATTATAGTACAAACTAAGAATCCAAGAAATAACGTAATTTAATCAAGAAATACTAGATAAACACGAATGAATGTATTGTATTTGGAATTCAAAATCAAGCATTTAAAAAGTAGAAATGAATCGTTAGTTCATACAAACACTACATCCTCCAGAGCATAAATTGCAGTCTAACTGTCTGTAATTTATTTACGTCTTTTCCTTATGTTGATCCTGTGTCTATGCGACAGTGTATTGGATGTAGACTCTGGATGATCTAGAATGTACTCATTAGTATTAGGATTAACAACTGGAGCGGACTTACCTGGGTCTTGGAATTGTATACAATCACCATGTTGGTTGTGTAGCAAAACTACTGGTATCTAGAATTTGAATCATAGATCTTCCTGCATTAACCTCCCCCATGAAATAACGTTGGATCTTCATATCCCCAAGTTATGAATAATGTGACTTCATTTAAAACTTATATCGTACATTGACTAGAGTATTCATTAGAAGTGACTTCATGATAAGAATAAACAACAGTTGATATGAAATCATCCTAAATATAACCATATTTGAGCTCGTTTAGTACTCGTGCTTCTCATTGAACAAGTTTCCCACAAGAAGCAAATGCATTATGAGGATAAGTAATATATGATATAACATCAGGATTTGATTCTTCTGAAATAGTTTCCTCAAATTTAATAAGAATTTCATTAAAGAATAATGGATCATTAGAAAAATCAGCACCTATCAAAACTGTATCAGGTTTTCGATCATGATTTGATTCACTCAACATATTTTCCTCAGATTTACAAGGAATTTCATCAGAAATATGTGAATCATTAGAACAAACCAAATCCGATACAATAATATAAGAAATCTGATAAGTTGGTTGATTAGAAACTTTTGTCTCACAGTGATTCTGAGTTTTATTTAACTCTGGACTGCTATGTGACTCTATACCGCTTTTCGAAGTCGTGGAAAAAGATAAATGATCATTAGAAACACCCTACTTAATAGGACCACAATTACAAATTTTGGCATTAGTTGCAGTGAAATGAACCGTAGTATTACATACTGACTGAATTGGTCAAATCTCACCATATTTAAAGCATTTAAAATTACCAAATAAACACATGAATTAAATGAGTGGAACTTGCCACAGGACAAACATTAACCAAACTTGTGCCCACCTTTGTGAACCCCATCGCAACTCCTCAGTAAATTATCTGCATGACCTTGAGTACGCACTGGAATGGATGACGTAGTAATGTAGTGGAATTTTTGATGTCCTGATGAATCATTTTACGAAATCCTCCCCCTTTACCGCATTCGAAATTTGTATACTTAACATAGTCTAGTAGTAGTTCCTTGAGAGTTGCATAAGGAAGCGAAATAGGCATTTCTGGTGAAGCCAAAGTTTTTAATAAGTTATATGCTTCTTTTTTGATGAATGTAAGGAAATGTGCCATAATATTAACATCCTCAACGTCTTCCTTGGTCATAGCCCAGATTTCGAACCTTTCCACGTAATCCTCAAAAACATCAAAATCTGAATGTATGTCCAACCATTCCAACAAAGGCTCCATCGCGACGCCAATGTGACAATTAGAAGTATCTGAATTATAATACAAACTAAGAATCCAAGAAATAACGCAGTTTAATCATGAAGTACTAGATAGGCAAAAACGAAAGTACTGTATTTGTAATTCGAAACCAAGCAGTCAACAAGCACAAAGGAATCATTAATTCATACAAACAGCACAATTTCTCAAACTGTGAGATCTTTGATAAATATTTATTTCAGTCACAACTGATACCAACCGGAATCAGTCTCTAGACTTTGTTCACTTATAAGTTTCGAAGATCATCTTAATGGGACTCCGAAATTAATAATATTGATATGTTTTATAAATTTCCACTTACTTCATCTCTAAAATATTACTGATGCCATCAAATATTTCAACATTGTTTTTTCCGTTTAAAACCTTATGAGTTTTCTTCTTGAGTACTCATAATTTCAGCTTATTTTTTGCATTGACTGTTCAGTTTAAAGTAATATCTTTGTCGTTAACTCCGAACAAACTTTCAAACATTTAAAACGGGTTAAATACAAAATATCCTTACTTTGAATGCCGGAATACCTGAAACGACAACTAATAAGTGGATTTTGACTTAATTAGATTAATACGTTGACTTGTTGAGTCGAAGTTTTGAAGATGTCGGTGACCAGTTATTACCTAGGTACTTAGCAAAATAATCCTCCGAAAGCTCGATGCACAAGTTAATTATCTAGTAATCTATCTAGCTAGTATTTTACCAGTCTTTAAGTTGACTACAGTGTCTATGTAACGAAAATGCCCAACAGTACCGAAGATATTGACCATGTACATTAACAGTATTTTAGTGGCCCGAGATCTGACTCATGAAAGATCATTTTCTACTTGTTATTGAAATATACATGTCGCCAGTCCTCGTATATAATTATCAATTTAACTCGTGATAGTGAATAATGGAATTAAAATAAGTCAAATTCGAGAATGGATTTTTGAAAACGTATATTTCGTACAATCGGTGATCAGAAAGCGAAAACAAAATGACGTGCGACGGAGGTGTGTGAGCCAACTCGATTTAACCAAACGTGAATCGATATTTATAGTCAGACAAAAATAAGTTAGAGACATGTGATGAGTAAGATAAGAAATGCACACATATATGCTTACATAAAAACAGTCAAGGTTGATAAGCGAATAAGTGACAGGGTAAAGATGTGGCTTGAGAAGAACCAATAGATTGGTTTGTCCGAATGCTAGAATAACCTACAGTATAATTACTTGAAAGTGTTAATGATGTGATAAAGTATAGTTTTAAAAATAAGTTTATATAGCATCACTTTATTGACTAAACCTATAAATCAATAGTTAACAGAATCGGTGACTGTTTCGAATTACTTTAGTAAATGAAATACACAAAAATACAAGAATAAGTCTCTTAATTTGCGAGCAATATTCATTTGAAATTGCTATTTCTCACACAGTTTGTGAATGTGCACTTATGCTCTTGAAATAAATAAAAAGAGTTCAGTAAACAATGAGATTTACAGACGAATTTCATGAAAGACTTAGAGTGTAGCCTATAGAATGCAGATACTCTGTGTCGACGGTTTATCTCCGGCTATTATTATAAGTGGAAAGTGAATAATGTTACATAATAAGAAGATAAACTTTTTAACCTTTAGGAACATTGATGCATGCTAAATTCTCACCTGTCATCGGGAGAATTCTATTACTTCTGTACATTTTATTTATTTTAAATAGTAAAAGAAACGAAACCAGCTAATAAAACCTGTGAACATAAAATTTTTGTTCCTATGTAACTATATACCACCTTTTATTTGAATAAGATGATTTCAATACCCGTAGTCTCGTATAAAATGTTAATGGGTATAAAATACTCTTTATATATTCAGTAAAAGTGTCAAACTTTGTATTTTTCTTAGTTTACTAGTTAAAAATCAAGTCCGGTAATTTGTGGAAAAAATCCTATCAGTTCTTGACAAATATATCAGTAAATTAATAACATTTTTGTCTATCATATTGGGTAATTTTGATACTTTCAGAAAAGGTTGTTTTCACTAAAACTTCTAACAGCCAAAAAAACTAGATAAGTGATTTATCCTATCTTAAATAATGCTTAAGATTATACAATATTGATTAATATCAGAACAATATCAGGAGTCTTTACGTTAAATTTTGATCATGTAAGACTTTCAGGAATAACAATAAAGAGTAAACAATACGGATAACACAATGTTGTTATAATAACATAAGTATTTCAGCTGTATTTAATTAACTGTTAATATTTACCTAGGAATATATGGAATAAATAAATATGAATACGACAATTGGAAATTCAGATTACGTGCTTAACTTAGTTAAACACTATGAACAAAATCTGTTACCAAGATTCGACTAAGGCTACACCGGTTACAGTCACTTGCATGATTATTATTTTTATTACTAATGAAAATGTATTAGTGTATTTAGTTTGAAATTTCTAAATTGTAGTAAAGTTCACTATTGTAAATGGACAAAACACTGATATTGTTACTCGTTATAACTTTGGAAATTACCACTGTGATGTGTGCTACTTATAAGGACAGACATAAGTAGTATGTATCTGGAACTAGGAATAGGATTCTTACTGATGGAAGAGAAAAATGGGAGGAAGGGAAAGAAAAACTGATTCCCCCCTGCCAAAGTCTCCTTTCATTACACTACTTGTTTCTTGTTATAAATAAAGACCGATACGCTTGACACAAGGTAAAAGGTAAGATTACAGATGAAGAATTTGTTATTCACTAACAACAGATCTAAACACTATAACAAGAAAATTACACTCAGTTAAATACGATTTACCTAACTAGTCAGTCGATGAATTTGAATATATTGAACTTGGCGGTAAGTGACGTAAATCAATCAGTTTGCAACCTTAATAAATTAAAGTGCTTAACTTACAAATTTAACCAAACTATTGAGTTATATATAGGCTCCTTTCTGACATTTACTAAAATCATATGAAAATAGTTGTTATATTATTATTTATAAGTTGCTCAATCATCTGTCAATTTGTTTAGGTCAATTCTATTTATTAATGATGTTTAAGTTATTTTTTGTTTGAAAGATGTTTACCATTTTAATCATTGTCATATCATTTGCTTCTACGATTAAATATTTGTCTAGTTATTCATTTATTAGCTGGCTTTTTACCATGAAAAACCTGATAGTTCACTGACGTGGAAAAAATGAAGTCATTCAACTTTTTCTAAACATCGTGTTTGACAATACGGAATAATAGAAACTACAAATATAAACTGGACTCTTTATTTCTAATTTCATAATATACGATAATATATTGTATAACCATATCAGTAAACAGTTATGGCTTGAAAACCCGGTCTTAAAATTAATATAATAAGAATCACAATTATTTTTTTAAAAATAAACTCAAATATTGTGTTGAGAATAACTCGTTTTAAAGATGGAAAGTAATAGAACATTCTTCGTTATGATACAACACTGTAGAGATAATATTTCCTCCTTTGAAAAGAAATTGAAGCAGTAAGTTAATAAATCTTTCATATCATCACTGATTACACACAAATATATGGATTAGAAGATTCTTAAAGGTATCAGTACCACGATACCTTATAACTCACCTATACTCAATCAAAATACATTAATGCAGAACAATGATTAAGGATGGAAATAGAAGCTATTAGCTTTTTAAATCTGTTTAATTAAAATGTTTGATTCTATATTTCATCAATTTTTATAATCATTCACTACTGTATTATTTTGAAAGCTTATTCCCTTTTAAAAGACTATAATTATCTAACAATTTGATAAATTATATTTATAGTTTATTATTTGACTTTTCTAAGTATTAATAGTTTAATATTGAATTAAGTCATTTATTTAATATTCAGAAGATCCTTGTTCAACAGAACTAATGAAGTCATTTTTCATGATACAGATGCCTATATAAACATATCACCCAGTTCTTATGAAATTTCAACTTATTGTTATAATTCATGGTTTTCTTGTTAACGTTCTGTAAAGTATGTCAAACAAATGTGAATTCGTCTTATCAATATTACAATCAGAAAAAATAGATGTTATTAATTGAGATCTTAAACCGATTGATGTTAGACCACTATTGAAAACCTGGAAGCACTGGACGGCCGTTTCGTCCTATTGTGGGACTTCTCCGCAGTGCATATCCACGACCCCGCCTGGCGAGATTCGAACCCAGTGCCTATCAGCCTGGTGCGAGAGCACTTAACCTCTAGACCACTGAGCCGGAATTCAATCAAAGTTTTTTTATCGCCTAGTATCATATGAAAATTTAAAGAAAATCAGTTTTTTTGCAAATTTAGAGCGTTGAAGTCAAACATTAATACCGTTGGATGCCAACCGGATCAGTAATCTAAAGGTTAAGTGCTTGGGCGCTAGACTGATAGGTGCTAGGTTCGAATCTCTCGGGGCGGGATCGTGGATGCACACTGCTGAGGAGTCCCACAAGAGGACGAAACGGCCGTCCAGTGCTTTCAGGTTTTCCATGGTGGCCTAGCTTCAATGGATTTATGATTTTAACTATGAAAATAGTGATTAGTTAAAAGATTTACAAATGTACCGTATCGTCGTTGGTACAATACAAGAAAATTAACAAAAATTCATCGTGAAAAATGACATTGGAATGGCTTTTTTTATGTACTCATTCTTTTCTTAAGTCACTCATGATCTTTGTTTCAAAGTATTCAAATAAACGCATGTACGTCTGATTAGATGTTCATATTCATTACTTTTGCTATTACTGTGATCCTAACTATCTTTCTGAATTAATATATATGCCAGCTTATCTTTATTTCCATCGAATTCATCAGCATTTCTAATACAGGTGCCTTGACAAGTACATATGTGACCAGATTGTTTCAACAGTACGGTGAAAATAAACCACAATTTTCAGATCGACTTCCTCTACTTATTACACACGTAATTTCAACAATCTGTTTCTCAGCATAGAGGTTTTATGAAAATTATTGAATGTTATTGATATTAACTTTATATAACCCATTCTAGTTTGCCCGTACTTTCGTTTATAAGAGATCATCACACTACATTATAGCACGATTAACAGGTTTGTTTGTAATCTCTTTCACTGTATAATTTCAAACATCCTACGTTGTGTAATTCTTATGATAAGTTGTTATATAAGGAATTATATTTCTTTGGTTACCTCAGATATAGCCATATAAGTTTCTTTGTTTTTGAATAGAAAAGTTCATCCATTCATGAAGATAATCAATATTCAGTTGTAAAGTATTGTAGGTATAAATGTGATAAGTATAATGCACTGAATATGTTTGTAAGATAGATTTAGATAATCGTTGAGTAATCAACATCATTCTCATTTAAAGAGCTATGTGATATATGTGAAACACTGAAGATATAGAAATTATGAATGTCTCTGTTTTCTTCAGTAAAGATTTATGAAAATTTAAAACAATTAGACCTTTATGTTGTCACAGTAATACACTGAGTAATTTTTAAAAAGATATCTTTGTATTTAGCAGTGACTGAATCATTTTTTTTCTACGATAAGAACAGTTATATTCTCGACGGTACTGATATAGCTATAAATGCAATAAGCGTACAGAAATATTGAAATTATTGACGTACAATTAGAATAATCTGTAGCTATGATCAAGGCAATAGACCATTATTTTGCAAAACTTTCGGGCTGTGGATGAAATTGAATGAGATCACCAAGGTGAAGTAAATGGCTTTTTGTTTATAACTATTTCCACTAAACCAAGGGAATAAAACACTTCGAGGTGATTTTTAGGCTAAAAATAGATGTTTACAGATTATCGTTAACAAAAGTTCATAATCAAAGTTGTTGAGTTTTACTGATGCTTGAAGAATTTTACTACCCAATCTAACTGACCACTAAACAAGTTTGATAGATGAAACATAATTACATACCAGAAATAGGTACCCCAGTAAAATAATCTTCAGTTACTGCCGGTCCCAAGCCCGGGTAAAGGAGGAGGGTTGGGCATGGGGTTAGCGTCCCCATCCCGTAGAAAACTAACTCGCTAAAAAAATTCAAACAATTTAAACTCTGCCATGGGAGTTAAAAGATCTACATTTAGAAGAACTATGACGTCTTATGGTGAAAGCCGAGTTCCTTCGGAAGCCACGAGGCCGATGCCCCTCCTAACGACCAGAGTAACAATTTTTATAGGTACATGGAAAGTACAGACAATGTAGGAGACCACGAACACCAGTCAAATAGCAACGGAAATGAAGAGATACAACTTGGCAGTACTAGGAATCAGCGAAACCCACAGGACCCAAGCTGGACAACAAAGCTAAATACGGGAGATGCTGCTATACTCCGGTCATGAAGAAGAAAATGCTCCACACACTCAGGGAGTCGCTCTAATGCTGTCCAAAGTAGCACGAAATGCATTTCTAGGATGGGAATCTCATGGATCCGGAATCATCAAAGCATCATTCAAAACAAAGAAGGAGGGGATCACAATGAATATTATTCATTGTTATGCATCCACCAATGATAGCAACGACGACATTAAAGATCAATTATATGAGAGACTGAAATCAATCATGGCGAAGTGCCCAAGAAAGGACCTCACCATTCTGATAGGAGATCTTAACGCCAAAGTCAGAATAGACAACACCGGATATGAAGATATCATTGGACGATATGGATT